GTGACAGTGTCATGGCGTGCGGGCTGGCCAGGGCTTCCCATGTTGCCCCATGTTGCCCTGTGCCCACCGCTCCCGCGGCCTCTGCCCACTAACCGAGGACTGGACGCGATGCGGGGCCTGCTCACTCTGTGCTCCCTTTGCCGCTTCATCTCCTCTGTCAGAAGGCTCCTCGGAGCCAGTGCTGAGCGACTCATTTCCCTGAGGCTGAGCCCAAGCATCTACCTGCTCTGTCAGCCCTGCTGACGGCCGGTCCCACCGAGTCCAGCTTCCTGAGCAGACGAGACTGTTTTCTCCTTGTGTCTTATCGCCCTTTGTCATTAAGGAGATGCTTGGCTTCAGCTCCCATTTGGGCTGGTGCACAGCAGTGAGGGAGCAAGGGGACACTCAGGACCCTTGTGAAGGCCACTGCACTTCCTGCTGCTGAGATCCACTCCCTCTTTGGGAAGGTTTAAATCAAAGGATGTATTTATGGGCATCTGAGTTTCAACTGTGCAATAAGAGGTGTTATATTGCAAACTTTCTTGGGGAACTTTCGGGCTTCATTTTTTTGTTTTTTATTTTCTGACTCTCAGCTGCATATCTCGAATGTCGAGTGGTGTATTGTTTGAAGCTTTTTCCATTTTACTGAAGTTTGCGGGGTATGGGCTAGGGTTTTCTAGTTTTTTGGGGTTTTTTTTTTTTAGCAGTTTTATCTTTCTAAAAAGAAGCATTTCCCCAAGAGTAAATCTTTCCTGCTCACTCTCCATTAGCATAAAGTTAGATCAAGAACCAACTGCACTGGCATTCTTGTATTCCCTCGGAGCCGGGGCCATTCCGCAATTTTGCTTTTTTAAGAAAAGTGAAGGAAAGAAGTGAATGCCGAGCGCTGTTCTGGCTCCGTAGCTGAGATTCTTCGCGATGTTTAACCAGGGTTCTCATCAGTCTTAGTTTTCCTCATTAACATCCTCGTCTATACATCTCCTTTTTTATAGCACTCAAGTTAATTTCTCTCGATATGCACATTTGAAATTTAACATCCTGCCCAAAGAGCTCACACTCTTAAAATGTTTCTCCATCTAAACAGATGTCCTTGCAAACCTCATAAGCAACCTCAACAAAAGCGGAAGAAAAACATGAGACTGTGAACTTGGAAAAGATATGTGATACAATCTATTTAATAACATTCCCCACGATGATTTTAGAAGTGGGTGGGTATCAAAGGGATTAAATGTGTTAAATAATAATCAAAATAAAATAAGATTGGGGGAAGGAAAGAAAACCAACCACTGTCATTTAAAGAAGTGCTGTTATCTTGATGGAGATGAAAAGGTGCCCAGGAGACTTGAGGAAGGGGACTATAGTTAGGGCAGAAGATAATAGCACCGCATGGTCTCTGCTGTTCTGAACTTTATGTTAACTACTGTGGGCTCAGAAACTGGCTTAATGACTTTTCCAGGATTTGGCCTGGCCCTTTATCAGTCCCCTATAACAAGAACATAAGCCAGGAAAGCCTGAAAAATTGCTGCAGCAAAACATTCCCTCCTGCCGGGCTGCGGTTCATAGCCTTGACCACTGGCCTTGGCCTTTAGGGTTTATGCCTGGACCAAGAGTTACAGGACAACTGCTGAAGGTCAGACAAGTCGACAGTAGTCAGGGACTCCGAGCAAAAGGAAAGGGGCTCTAGGTATCTGGACATATCCACGTTCTCCTGCTCATGCGTTTTGCGGCTATAAAATGCTCGGCTAACCCTAATTGAATTTGACAATAGTAAATCACAGGTTGAAACTGTATAGCTCACCTAAGGGATAGCGATGGAGATGGAGAAGACACCGGGAGCCAGAGTTCAGGAAATGTCATATCTACATAGAAATGCTTTAAATTTTTCTCAGAGCTTTATTGTCTTTTTTGACAAAAAGGTTCCAGACCACCCAGTGCACAAAGTCCATTTTAGCAACTGCACATAAAATCATCATTCTGATTCCGCCTTTCCCCCTGTTGTCATCCTATAGCTTTAAGCCCATAAACAAAAAGGAACTGAACTTCCAAAAAAGAAGAAAAGAGCAAAACAGATGAACTCATTCTGCTCTCTTGTCCTTAGGAGCTGATCACACCCTAGTGGAGAGGATTTGTGACATTTAAAAGGAAACTATATTTCAGCCCTTTTCCTCTCCCTCCCTGTTGCCCCACACAGTCTATCAGGGGAGCAGTTCCTGGTGTCCTTGTAAGAATACGGCTTTCAGAACCTCGTTTCTCCCAGGCTAGCAGAGGCTTACTTACAGAAGCGTTTCTGCACTGGCTGTCACTCCAGGGCCACGTGCTCTTCGTGCCAGGCTCGCCCGGCCACCTTCCCGTGCCCCGGACCTCGCAGACCAAATCATTTCCTCTATCTGTTCTCTGAAGGACGTGACAGGAAGAGGTAAAGTCCTTGGGGAGGAGTGAAGTGTAAAGCAGGCGGGGATGTCCTCAGTCCCCCCTAACACTGACTGGGGCACGGGCACAAGGGCCGCCCCATGTGTTTGCTCCGTTGTGTCTGGCATAGCGAGCTGCTGTTTTGTTTTGAGGGAACCTCATCCTTTCCCTTCACAAGGTCTTTGGTGTAATTAAATGTCAGGGAGACAGAGCCTTGGCAGAAGGTTAAAGTAAGCTGCTAGACTGGAATGTGGGAGTTGGGCTCAGAACTAAATTGGGAAGTTTAACTGGGTTCGTCTCTGGTTTCAATGAAATACTTTTACAGTGCATGGTAACAATGTCTGTTTCTAAGCTTTTGAAAACCATTTTTCTTTTTTCCTTAATTGTAGTTCCCTAGTTGTTTTTATATTATGAGCTACTTGTAGAAAAATACAGGAAACATAATTACAATACAAAGCTCCCTTTCCCAAGCCTACTGAGATCATTTGAAGCCAAACTTGGTTTTAGGGTTTTGCTAACTATAAGTTCAGAGCCATGAATTGCATCCTCTGCAGTGCTAGTTGATTTACAACAAGTGTTACGTGATTAAACAATCACCATGTTTCTTTAGGCTGTGTAACTGCCATCGAGTTTGAGGGCCCTATTGCCTCATGAGGCCACTTTCACAGCCTCCTCTGGGGAACAGGAGTGAGTATCTGTGTGCGACTCTTATAGTAAAATAGAAGTATTGTAGAAGTATGTACAAGTTTACTTAGGGAAAGGAAAGAGAAATAAATTTGTTTGCTTTTCCACTTATATTTCCAGTTCCATGTAACACTGTGTTAAATTGCTAATTATTAATTTTTGTATCCTACGTTTCCTGAAGAATCTGAATATGGACCTCTGAGCCAGCAGAAATAACTTGTTTTACTATTATTAATACTCTGGAGAGGAAATCAGTACTTCGGTGTATTGTGAAATGGAAAGCCTTTGGGAGTTTGATTTATTCAACCCTACAAAGTAATGATGGATGATTTCAAATGAGAGTTGTTGAATGTACTCTGTTAGAGTATAATTTCAAGCAAACAGTACAGATATTCAGAAACAGCTACCAGGGAAGGTGAGTGCCCGAGTGGCCTGCAGAGCTGGCCCTGCCCAGCCCCGTGGCCTTCCCCACTGTGTGTCCACAACAGACCCCTTAACCCTGCCTCCCTCCAGGGGACCCGGCACATCTATGGGGAGGGCTTTCAGCCACTTGATTATCTGTTACTTTCACTTGATATAACTGGTTTTAGCTTGTTCTATAATATCATCTGTATGGAAAATAGTGTCTTCATGAGATATTTATCTTGCTTAAAGTTCAGCTGTTTTAATACTGCCTTCATAATTCTGTTCTGAGTACGCATATCTTGTGTACTAGTTGATGAATACATTTGTATATGGAAAAGCTCAATGTTTATCTTACCCCTAAAATGGTCAAGTACTTTTCTTTCTTTTTTATCTTTTCCTTCTTTCCTTCTCTCATTCCTTCTTTCCTTCCCCCTCCTTCCCTTCCTTTTTGCAAATCATCTTGAAATTCTCATCTCAGTTTTCTTCAGAGAGCTGTAATAAAAAATTGGTGAGTGAGGGCTGAGATGCAGGATTAATTTATTCTCCTGTAGTTTTCTTTTAGCAAGTTTTCCTTCTTAGGAAGTCTTTTAAATGGATGGAAACTCTGCGAAGCCCTGGTGCGTTTGCAGCTTCCGCCCTGCACGGTAGCGCTGGGGGCGGACGCCCGGGCCTCGGGCACACGTTGGGTTCTTTTCGGTATTTTGATAAGGCCCTGTCAGATGGGATGAGAAACTGGAGTATGAAGCAAATGGCGGCCCCAGCCTCTTGTACAGGAGCTGGAGGCTCGTTTGAAAATTAACTTGATCCTCCAGCGGGGCCGGGAGGTGACCCTGTGCAGAGGGAGGCGAGCGAGGCAGTGCTGGCTCTTCAGAGCAGGGTTTTCAAACTGCCTGGCGCACCGCGTTCCTGGGTCCCCATGAGCCTTTTCTACTGAAGGGACCAGAAGCGAAGAGAACAGAATACTGCACATAGTGCCCCTGGAAGGCAGGGTGAGGGCTGCTTCGGGAAGCTTCGGTTTCGTTTTAAGCGCATGTGGGTTGCTGGGTGGCAGAGTGAGCCGCCTGCCTGGAGGGCCAGGGGGCTGCGGTCCGCCGGGAAGCGCGCAGCCGGGTGCAGAGGGACGCACGGCCCCCGGAGCCCCGTCTCTGCGCGACAGGAGTGCGGGGCCGGGACTTACTCGTCCCTCTCTCTTCTCGCCTGAGAAATGTCGTAATTCGAAACAGTCCTCACAGTAGCGTCCCTGTCAATCTCATGTTCATGCGGTAAAGTCACGGAGCGTCACTGGACACGGTGGACGGGGCGGCTGCGTGGGCTGCGGACCGACGGCTGTCACGGTCCTCGCCCGGCGCAATCTTAAACGCGACCTTCGCAAGATTTATGGCTCCGAGAGCCAAGACAGCGTGCCCAGCGGGGACACAGAAGGAAGCGGGAGCCTTGAACGAGGACAGCGTGGGGGGGTCCCCTCGGCTCGGACGGACCGCCACCCCTGACCACGCCTGTTTCTCTCTCCCTCCACCCCGTAGGACTTTCTGCAAGGAGACTGCACCAAAGCGAAACAGAAGCTGAACTGGAAGCCTCGGGTCGCTTTTGATGTAAGTGTCCCTTGCACGGTGGGGCCGGTGGGACCCCTCGCGCTGGGCTAGTTCGGGGCCCGGCTCCGCGGGAGCGTGGCCACCTGGCGGGCAGCTGGGCGCCAAGGTGCCCAGGGTGGAGGGCGGTCAGGGCAGGGTGGCAGCCGCACGGGGGTGGAGATGTCGCCAGGAGACAGTGACAGAAACCCCGTCCTCACCGCCCACCCTTTGTCTCGGCTCCCAGGAGCTGGTGAGGGAGATGGTGAATGCCGACGTGGAGCTCATGAGGAACAACCCCAACGCCTGAGCGCGGCCGCCCGGCGCCAAGCCGCCCCGCAGGCCTGGTCTCTGGCAGAGGCAGCCAGTGCGGGGCGCACGAGTGGTCCTGGGAGGAGCGACGGACGCGCCCTTCCGACGGAGGCCCGAGACCCTCGCCGCCGCTGCGAGTTGGTCCTGCCGGCAGGACTGGGGCCGCCTGGGTTTGCAACAGCCGGGACCCCGCGCTCCGGGTTCGCCCCCTTTCCTTTTGTCCAGGCCTTTTCTGAACGGTTTTATGAAATCAACAAGATGTTTCAATCACATATTCACTTGACTTGAGATTATGTCATTAGATAGCTGAAATTGTGAGGCTTTCAAATGGTTTTTCTTTTTATTAAAAATGGTCTTTCTATGAACCAGCAATCGGTGTTGATGTCCATGTTTTCTTCAAGTTATAGAAGCAGCTCTAAGGGCTGAAAACAAAACAAAACAAAACGGGATCCATGCCTCGGAGTGAAATAGCTTCCTTCAGGTCTGCTCCCTGTGAGAGAGCCCCTGCTGGCAGACCCCTGCCAGGCCCCAGTCTGACTTTGCCAGAGTCCTCCTGAGTCTCTGCCTGGGACATTTCTTTCTCCCTCCCAGTGACAATAAGCCAGTCTATCCAGCCGATTTGGAAATCCAGTTCCTGCAGAAAGGAGGTATTCACACCCGCTCTGGTCTCTGCTGACTATAAATAGAACCCACGGGGCTCCAATCATCTCAAAAGAAGGCTTCAGAAATAGAGGGGGGTTAGAAGAAGAAACCTGAAGGTAAGTAAATATTGTTGGAACATTCCATGCCAAAGCCCCTGGGTTACCCAGAGGTCTCTGAACTCATGCTTTCCCTTGTGGTCTAGAATCTTACACAATACTTCCAACCTCTTCTCAGTACTAGATCACTTTTTAAATCTAATTTTGATTTAGTCATTCAACCAATTTACTTTAAGTACCTAATATATTCCAGATACTATGCCCTTCAATTACATCAGCATTAATTAGAAATTATAATAAAGAGGTTTTAAGTCTGAGCCTCAGATCACTGAACCCAGTTCTACTGAATGCATCATTTAGGTGGCCTGGCTTTGACCACAGGCATGTGCTCCTGAGTGGTGGACAGTGTATCCGCACAGCTGTGGCAGGTGGACACACAAACATATATAATCCACAAGCAGCAAGCAAGGATCTGTGTACAGGTGGGTACCTCTGCGTGAAATACAGTATTTTGCCATAGAGTAAATTAGGTCAAGACTCTTCTTCCCTTCACTTCCCCTCCAAGGAAAATAAAATAAAACTTCATAGCAAATGGACTTCTAGCCTTTGCCCATGCTCCTGTGAGTACCGGTGAACTGTTTCTGAATGTCTTCTCCAGCAGGTTTATGGTCTGGGGGAGGACCCAAGCTCCAACGGCTGGCTGGCCTCAGGAAAGAGGGCTCTTTGTGTGGCTGCCTGAGTTGCTGAGTTGCTGCGACAGCATGCTGGCCAGGGCCAGCCTCAGCTTTGATGGAGCAGAACTAGGGTGGCCTGAGCTAGCTAGCCCCACCCCTTCTCAGAAGCTGCCCCAGGACAGGCCTTCTCCCAATCGGGATGTTGCTAATTGGAAACAGATGGACCCTGGCAGACTGGGCCTCCAGGACTAGGCAGGCTGGTGGGCACACATACACACACTCACACATATATACTCACACACTGTCACTCACAGACTTCAGTACACACATCCAAACACTCACAAACTCAAATACACACCTACAAACACGCCATCTCACACACATTCACTCACTTGCAAACATAACTCACAAATCTGCTATCACACACTGTCACACACATACTCACAAATCTCACAAATAAACACATTCACACAAGTTCCCCTTGACCTAATAGACAGGCACCTCCTCTTCTCCTGACCCCCTGAACCCTCCACCTCATCCCATACCCAGGCATCGAGACCATTCAAGGAACCTTAGAGCTTGGAGTGACCCCATTCAATTCAGTGTGTTGTGCCTTTTTAGCCTAAAGACATAATTAGCTCTTCGGTGAAGACCAGGAAAGAGTCTAGGTAGGGGTTTAATGGGACTCCAATGGAGCCATGATGTTAAATTATTCTTTTCAAAATGGCCTGGAGAATCAGTTTTTGAAGGACACAAAGTATTTTTGGTCAGTCGAAACCTCTCTTATCCTGCACCCTCAGTGGGACACAAGGGGAGTAATTTGGCTTCTAGGCCTCACTGTGTATATTTAAAAAGAGAAAAAGAATGAATTTGAGTATTTCTGTGCTTTTTGTGTTGTGAATTTCATTTGAACATTCTTCAAGACAGTTCTATCTTAAATCTCAACTCAATTTCCATGAATTATTTTCCCTTTTTTCTGCTCTGCCAGCTTTGACTATTCATTTAGATGTGATAAAATATGTTCTGCCTCCATTTTTTAAGTTACAAACTAAGAAAGTTAAATTTTTGGTACAATCAAATACAATAGCAAAGCAGCCAAAACCCGAGTTTGTGCCCGGATGAGCAACAAGGTGCATGGATACCTGGCCACCCAGCAGCCTCACTTTCCGTCAGACCTGCCTGCCAGGCTGTCCTGGGCTCCTCTGCTGCCCTTTGTCTTTAGGGTGTTAGAAGAGAGCTGGGCCCGGCAGACCAAACCAGGCAGAGCTCCACAGCTATTCAGAAGAGAAGGCCCACAGCCGGCTGCCGACTAGGGGAGTGCTTGGGAGATAATGCTCCCTGTAACAGCGCTCCTTAGGGAACTCCGTTTCGGATCGGGGAAGTTGCTTCAGGCTCCCAGGTAGTCTCAGTTTTAAGGTGTATCCTGGTAAGTCCACGTTCACACATCATCTATTTTTCACGACTGGCGCTGCGGCCTTCAATGGGGGCATGAGGAGTGGGGTTTTACAAAAAGATCATGTGTCTCTGTGTGTGTGTGCATGTCTTACAAACATGTTCCAACATGCCACCCCACCGATGCCTCCCAAAATTGTGGGTTTTAATCACTGGGGATGCCGAGAATTTCCACAGACAGCCTTGACAACTGGGACACAAAGCCTCTCTGGGGGCTGACCCACCCTCCACAGTCCGGGGTTTCCCACCGTCCACAGTGCCCTTTTCCAGCAGACGGGGCCCAGGCTGAATTTCCTGCAGCAGGCCGGGGTGCTGCTGCCCTGCCCCAAGAAGGCTCGCGTCCAAGACCTTAGCCGTGACCTCCGGGCCTCGGTGCCTCCGCGTGCACACCCAGAGCTGGGGAGCACAGTTTGAGGGGGTGTGCCATCGGATTATTACCCAGATTGGACCTGCGGCCATTTCGCTGTCCAAACCCGTGAGGCCGCCGCTCCCTCCCCCAGGCCCGAGGCGCCCTCGCTCCCCCAGCCCGCGCTCCTTCCCGGAAGGCCTTCCCAGGCCCCTGTACGAATACGGTGGCAGGGCCACTCCACCCTCGCCGATGTTCTCAGCCACAGTCTCTGCCGGGAGGCCTACGACCGCGGGCTGACCCCAGGCCCAGACCCCGCCGCCTACTCCCCGTCTCCCGCCCTTCCTCTAGGGTCAGGGGTCACACACAACTGACGCCCCGGACGCCCTGCTCTCAGCTGTCCCTTTTGATCTTTAAACTCGGGGCCGAGGTGCCCGCCTGGTGCACGCCCCTCACGTACGGCCGCTGGCGCTGGGCCCGCTCTGCGGCCGCGGAGCCCCACAGGGCTGCGGACGTCTAGGCTGGCCCGCGTGGCCCGCTCCTGGCTCTGCGCTCCGGCGAGCTTCTAGGCCTCCCGGCCTGCAAACCGGCCTGGACCGAGGGGTCCGCACAGTGGGCCTGCGGCGGCCACCCGGACTACAGCGCCAGCGCGCGCATGCGCCGGCCGCGTCCCTCCGCCCAGGCCGAGTCCCGCGCACGTGGAGGAGCCGACAGCCTCGCTCTCCCCCGGGCGCGCCGCCGACGGCTGAGGTGCCGGACAAGTGTCGCTACGGGGGGAAAAACAGCAACGACCTTCCACAGCCGTAGTCCTGGCCTCGCTAGTGGTCCGGTGCACTCAGGGCGCACGCGGGGATGGCCGCTCAGAAGCCGGTGACCCGGGGGACACAACTGAAACGGGGCTTCCTGCCGCCCACCACCCTGAGCGGAGGCCCTGCGCCCAGCCAGCCTGCGAGGACGCCGCGCCGCCGAGGCCTGGGCTGCAGTGGCGGCCGAGGGCGAGAATATATATTTGGAAGGGGTCAGGACCTCGGCTGGAGTGTGACTTTTTATGGCGAGGAAGCCGCCTGGGAAGGGCCGTCTGGCGAGGCTTTCCTGTTGTGCCACTTCGCCCCGCAGCGCCAGGAAGAGAGGGAGGCGCAATCCCGCGCCGCAGCCCGGCTCCGCCACTGTCCCGGGACTGCGCCCAAGGAGCGGGCGGCAGCTGCGGAGCGATGTCACATTGCTTCCCGGTCACCGCACACTCCCTGCACCCCCCTATCCGTGGAACCAGAGCCGGAGTGGGAGTGGGCGTGCAGGAAGCCCCGCAGGGACCCGGGACTGATGACCCAGGCTGTCACCCCGTCGAGTTCTGTCTGGGAATTTCTAGCACCTAGACAGCCCTTGGCGGTGGGAACAATAATGGGGCCCAATTTCCCGGTCTCTCTCCAGGACACGGAGGCTTGGGCAGCACCCTCCCACCCGAGTTAGCCCACACGCCTCCTCTCGCTGCAAGGCCTGGCCACTGTCGGCCGTGTCCTCCGTGCGTAATTATAATAAAAATCCTCTTTGGAACCGCGAGGAAGCCCCGGCCCTGGCGCAGGCTCCGGAAAGGTCCCGGGGTGCTGTAGACTATCTGGGGAGCCGACGTGGGCTACTGCGCGACAGGCTCCAGGGCCCCCCCTGTGCACCGTCGGGAATGCTGATTTTCCTCCACTTGGAAGGCAGAGTTTTTGTTTTTCAGCTACTGGCAGATTTTTAAGAATCCAATCGCCTCCTAAACAGTGCTCCCCACCCCTGTCCGGTTTTACATCTATAACCATTAACAAGACCCCGACCCAGCCTCCGGTACCAATGACCTGCTTTTATACTGAAGGAAGTGCTGAGGCCTTAAGAGTTAATAGCGCTAAATGTGTTGGTTTTCCTGCTTTTTCCCTGGGGTACCTAATGGTGGAAGGAAGTGTTCTCTCCCTCTCTCTCTCTCTCTCTCTCTCTCTCTCTCCACCTCCCTCCCTCCTCTCAGTCAAAATCTTCCTCAAAGCCCTAGAGCAAACCTCTTCATTCTGAATCTCCAGTTCTGAGTTCCAGAAGAGCCCCTCCATTTCCCTAGGCCCTGCTGTCCTGTGTGCTGGGGTGCCTCCGTGTTTCTAAGCCCTGCTGG